GGAAATGTTTAGAGAACAGTATGGAGAATATACATACTGATTTTGGGGTGTTAAGGGTTAATGATTTGTCTTTGAATTCTACCTGGACGTACATAGCTCCATCCAATGCCTTTACAAGGTCATCATAACTGGTAACTAACTTAAATGCCTCCTGAGCTGTCATGCCTGGACTACGCATCAAGCCTTTCATCTCCATATCACGCAGCTGGGACTCAATACTTGTCAATGCATTAGTCAGTTGACTGGCTACTGTATCATAAAGAGCAACAGTGAAACCAGCACTGGAGAAAATCTGCAAAAAATGGCACAACTAAGGGTAAATTTAGTCTGAGGTTAGTCAAATTTGACTTGTGCAGCACCAAACCCAAGCAAAAAAGATTTCATGTGTCTAACATTACGAGCAGCAGCTGAAGAAAAAACACACCCACTAACTGAAATCATGGGATTTCAAATTAAGTCATCTAACTTTAAACTACATTTTGTAACAATTACTAACACAAAAATTGTCATAGAGCGCTTTGCAGTTATTACTTACCACAGACCAAGATCTTCCTATTAACCCACTGGTGAAAAAAAGACAAATGATAAAATTAAGAGCTCACGGGATAAAATTAAAAAATTAAAGATATATAGTTTGTTGTATTCCTGACACAAGCAAAACAAGTAAAAGCTGAACAAGTTACTCTAGAGCCTAGAATCAATTTAAAAAATGGTTTTCAAAGAACGAAGTCAACCACATCTGCTGGTGATCACAATAGATGAATTTCTTTGACAGAGAGTTTCACGTTAACACAATGCCAGAAGATACATTAGTAAGGAGTTAATCATATTAACAGCAAGCTCCAAAGGGTCTTACGTTCACCATCTTACCAGTATGTAACTGGAGTCACACACAAAATTGCCCAATCATATTGGGAAATGGAAAGTGATTCCAAATTAATTTTGGATTGTGACAATCAGTGCCTATGGTGAAAGTAAGCAATAAATGACAAAGAATTTGTGTCAAAATTCCCACCTGCCAATAATAGTGACTTTTCCTTTGCTGTTTGAAGTGGCCATTTCTAACATAAAAGAGGTTTATCCTTTTGTGAAATTTATCAATGGCAAGTTTAATTAATAAAACTGCATCAATTGGCTTTATCACTACAGACATATGGAATTCATGTCAGTGCAGACTAAGGAGCAGTACCCTCTGAATAGCCCACTGGCTTCTAAAATGTTATGTTTCAAAAGATTTGAGTTTTAATGACTCCATGAATTGAGAATAGAAATTTATCCAGACGAAACATGAAAATTGATTAATATCATTTAATCAAACCTCCACCCTTCTTGAAATTCCTATGCAATCTCAAATTAACATTTTCTCAGAAAACATATAAGAAAATACCCTTGCATCAGAGGAATGCAGCAGTTAATTTATATGTGGCTAAAAAAATATGGTACACCCATAATCTACACCCCACAGGAAATTTAGTACGTAAAAAACGCATGGCGCTGGACATGATCAATATAAATATTTTTTCTTGCATCACAATACCCAAGTTGGTCAGTGGCAATCAACACAAATACAATAAAAGTTTATGCAATTAGTTAAATAAACACTCAGACATCTCTAAGATCCCATCAGATAGCACCCATTCTTTCAAATCCCAAAGGATTTTTTAAAATTATTTTCAAAATAATGTCCAATTTTGTTTTAAGTCTTAAATTACACAGATCTGTAATCAATAAATTTGTCAGATGGCCCATGTGACAAGCTTAGCAGGGTAGGGCATCAGATATCGGAGGAAGGAACGTAAGCTTAATGAATGATCGATATATCAATAGTAGAGGGGAACTGAGGTTCCGGTCGTGTTAAAGATGAGTCACTGTGGGTAACTAGTATAATACAATTTGAATCTCAAAAGGATAGACACGAAAGGTTATCTTTTCTTTTCTGCGAATCTCATCAGTCTCGAAACCTGACCAAGATGGACTAAGCGGGAATAACGAAGGAAAATAATGAAGAAAACATGGTATTCTGTAAATGTATGTCCGGAGTGCTCACTCTTCTCTATGTGTGATAAAAAGTAATTAATTTCAAATCGTGTCCATAAGTATTTATGTATCGTGAATAAAATTATGAACAAAAAGGGAGTCGCCATAACGTGATCTGATCAGTTAGGTGTGCCTTGGCTGGCAAGGTATTTTAATACACCACACAAACAATTAGCATTGCTGAAAAATTTTGGGAAAAATCATAGAAAATTATTCCTTGCGTGACACAAGCAGTAGATCGATAACCGCGGTCTTATTTTTCGAATCTGACTTACGTTAGTTAATCATATTGTATTTAACCAAAGAAAAATCCCTAAATGATAAAAGTAATTAATATTGACGAACCTGCCCTTGTTTGTCGACTTGGGGCGCTGATCAGGAAGAGAAAAAATTCCCGCTAGGCTAAGAAGGGAAAGTGACTCAATTACGACATTTCCAGTTTTGGAGTACGGCCGCAAGTGATACATGGGAAGACGACAAAATCCTCTGGGGTGGCGTACGTAAGGGCGAGATCTGGAAGCGTGTTATTAATCCTACAAGCAAAGTGTGCGATGAAACATACTCGTATCCATACAAAATATCCTCTTGACCTTCTAGGCAAATTTTTATAAAGGTAAATGCTTCCATAAGTGGATAATATTTTCAGTTAAAAAAATTACGCTCGTATGTACCCTAAAAACGGGTTGCTTGCTGATTGGCTCGTACTAAGAGGCTGGGTCGGGGATTCCCCACGGGAAAAGTCCCGGGGACGAACGTTAATAACGATTTGTCGTACTAGTGATTTCGTTTTCCTACTAGGGTTTGGGAACTGTTTTGCCCCTTTTAAAGGTTTGTTTCTCTCTAGTCAACGAAGCTTAAATTTTAAAAAGGGTGTGAGGCAAGCAATGTTACTTTTTGGGCAAATTATGTCGTTTTGTTTCCCCTAACTCTGACACAAGTCTACTTCCGCTTTGCAATCGCATTTTAAAACCTTCGTTGCTTAATTTTCTTTCAGGATTTTGTAATTAACGTCTTGAGAGAAGATACAGAAATAAGTTTCCAGATTTGAATCGTCGTGATCTGGTAGAAGGAGTAAAATTTTCGACAGAAAGTGGGTCCGTACGTTGGTTACGATCCTTCAAGAACACCATGGCCATGGCTTCATTTCAACCGCCGAGTCATCTATTTGAACGAAACATCTCTTTGAACGATCTCGACTCCGCTTTAGACGTGCGAGAAATAGTGCGGAAAGATGTTGTGGTACCCGAAGACGTTACAAAACACAGATATCTAGATTCCTCTTCCAACTTTACATTTGTGCTTCCTTCGTTCCAAGATTTCACTCTCGAATTCCGAAAATTCGTATTCAGCTTTTTGGTGGATGGACACACAATGAGAGAGTTGGAAGCTGCCAAAAGACTTAATTGGTGTAGCGCTTTGGGTCGTATGGCGACAGTGAGTACTTTGGGCGATGGAAACTGTTTAATGCATGCAGCCTCAATTGGAATGTGGGCCGTCAACGATCGTTATCAGACTCTCAGGAAAACTGCTCACGAAGCACTCGTGGAAGACGTGGAAGGTACAAGTAAGTTAAGATTCTAAGAAGGGAAGATGGGATTAGAATAGCCTGTTTTTACTGCGCCACATCCTCCTCCAAACCTCTCCACTTTCATTACTGTAAGTTAGAACCAAAAGGAAAATGTTAATAAATGATTCACAGGTTAATTATAGTTCATAAATCTCTTTCCTCACTGTCATTTTGGTTGGTACTTCAGATAAGTTGAGTTCCAGTTTTTAACCAATCACTACAAGTGCTAACTAGCAACGGTCGTAAGGAAGTTGATAGTAAGTTGTTATGGTTGGGTGATCTTTGAATCACAATTAACTGACCCAGGTTATTTATTATGTCACTAGATCTTGCTCCTTGTCAGTCTTTGCTTTCCACATTTTCATATATATGAGAAATTATCTGTTCTTTAAATTGTCAAATTTAAAAATCTCCATTTTAGCCCCATTAAAGAGCCATTATGCCCAACAGAGTAATAATAATTCTCACAATTCACCTGGTTTAGTCTTGTGGTTCAAACCTGGTGTCATGTATTTATCTTTCAGTTTTTTTTTCTTTATTTGATTTTACTCTCAAGGTTTTTACCATCGTCGCTGGAAAGCTGAAGAAGAACGGCAAATATTGAACCAGCTTGGAGGATATCAAAGAACAGAAGAACAATGGAATCGTGAATGGGAAGAAGTTATCAGACATGTGTCACAGAATGAATTTCCATTTGGTCCAAATGGTGCTCAGTTTGGGAGCCTTGAAGAGATCCACATCTTTGTCCTTGCCAATATCTTGCGTCGCACTATTATAGTGATGTCAGATGACACCCTAAGAGGACCATATGGTGATTCATATTCTCCGATAAACTTTGGAGGTATTTATTTGCCTCTGTTGTGGGACTCTGTAGACTGCGTGAAAAGTCCCTTAGTGATTGGTTATGCAAATGGACATTTCACAGCAGTTGTCAGTATTCAAGATGGACAACTAGACCTGGAGAATGAAAATCAGCCAGCTTTAAGGTCAAGTAACTGCATGCATGCCGTGCCATTAATTAAATATGATGGATCACCATTACCAGTTCATTTTCTTCTCGATCATGAAGTACCATTGGCAAGTGACCGTGTGCGTCAGTACTTGGACTGTGCTAAAGTATCTGTTTTGAGTGATCAAGGAGGTTCTAGGCAGTCAATTCTTGTTGCAAAGTTGCATTTTGGTGAAGAACCCCGTTGCATGAAAGCTCTTATTGATGGATACTTCCAAAGGGCTAAGGAAGAATATCAGCGTATGCTAAGAAGCAGTCAAGTAAATATTCAGTCTCAACCAGGTACCAAACAGCCAACACTACAGATTGTTCCATGCCAAACTCAAGGTTGCACCTTCTATGGATCAACAGAGACTGGGAACCGTTGCTCTCAGTGTCTGAACGAGTATATCAGGACCCTTGGACCTTCAGAACCAAGTCATTATGCAGCAGCAAGACAGATTTCTTCTCGGGAAAATGTTGTAACAACCACCACATCTGCAACACCACAAGCTTCTAATGCCATTGTGACAACCCTTCCCACAACCTTTCCAGCTACAACTCCTGCCAAATGTCGGACATCCGGGTGCAAATATGCTGCAGTGTCTAACCATGGTGGCCTATGTGAGAGGTGCTTTGAAGCTGAAAGAAATGCTGAAGAAATGGCAGCAAGCATGAATCCCTTGACATTGGCAACCACAAAGCACTGTGCAAACAGAGTGAATGGCTGTGAGTTCTTTGGCCTGCCTGAACATCATAACTTATGCTCCAGATGCTACAGAACCTTCTGTTTACAGATGGAAAATACCTTATCACCACGTAGCCCTGCATTGCCAGGACAGCCTAACAGTTGCCAGCGTCACAACTGTCCATTCCCTGGTGTACCTGCATTGTATGGTATGTGCGTACAGTGCTACACTGATTGTATTCACAGTTTCATAACCTCCAAGGGTGAATCAGTTGGGAGTGCTATGCAACTCAATCCACCCCAGGAAGCACCACCACAGAATGTCACAAGAATTAATCCAGTTCCAACTGGTGGTGGAAGGAAGGGTGTCTTGTGTGCCTCTCCAGGCTGCTTCAATGAAGGAATATCTCAGTTCTCAGACTTGTGTAGAGAATGCCATGCAAGAAAGTCTGGTCCCTCTCGGGTACGAAACACTTCAGTTACTACTGCAGGAGAAGCTAGTGTACCCTTAGTCACACCATCTCCGATCTACACATCTGCATCAGCAGCAGCAGGCACCCCAAATTATCACCCAACATCAGCACCAACAAATGGTACTGGTCTGAATACGTGCTCCAACCCAGCTTGCAAAAATCCAAGAAGGGATGGGCGAGGATTATGTCAAGCTTGTGAAAATGCAAATCCAATTCCATTCATCACCAATTCAGGAAGTGGTTTGCAACAGCTAACAAGATCAAGCAGCATGGCAGTGACTGCATCAAGTGTATTAAGGCATCCTGTCCCAGCATTTACAAGTGGCAGCACCAATACCCATAACACCGCTGGGACCTCGTCATCTGCAGGGGCACAACATCCCTATCAAGTCATCCCACAAGCACCATCCACCGGATCAAAAGCAGATAATTGCGCCTTGTGTGGAAAACGAGCAGAACTGGATGGTGGGTTGTGCAAAGATTGCTTTGCTGTAGGTTTTCAGGCAGAACTACGTGACATTGAGAAGAGACAAGCTGCAGTCTCCCAGACATTATCTAGACAACAGGGCACCTTTACAGCTGCTGCTTCAAATAACCAGGTATGCAGTTATCTGGAAAATGAACCCAAAATTCTTTACCTATAAGGGCAGTCTAGTTCATAAACTCCAGAAAATCTTATTTGCACATTTTGTTACCTTCGCTTGATTTTCTGAAGCAAATAGAATGATGATGCAAAATGTCTCAAGGAAGATAAGTAAGCATCAAAATGATGTTAGTTTTGCAGGAATTCATGACAATCCACAGACATCAATTTCATAAAAAAAATGTTACCAATTAAATAACTAATGAGGAAAATCATTTTCCTGTCATCAATAACCCTAAGATATATTATTTTTTTCTCTTACAAAGGGAGCACAAAGCACTTCTCAAGGCATAAACCAAACAGAGACAACTACCAAGAGGACGGCTGTGAAGGTAACTGAGCTTCCATGCAAAACCACAGGCTGTCTCAGATTTGGAACCCCAGAGAAGAATGGGTTATGTGAGCAGTGCTATCTTGGTAAGGGAAGGATTCAACAAAGGTCCACATTATCCTCTGAAGTGCAACAAAATCAGGGTCAAGTTATAAGAGGTAACTCTCACAATCTTCCAACACCAACACAAAATCGCCAGTTTGGTTATGACCTTCCAGGACCAGTACAAGTGTCCCAGCCAAGAAGCCCTCAGTATGGCTTGCAAGTGAGGCAATCTCAGTCAAATTCAGGCAGTGGTGACATCAGTGGTCAAAAATGCCGTGGCACTAACTGCACCCTATTTGGAACACCAGAGACAAATGGATATTGCTCTCGCTGCTTTTTGGAAAGCACCATTCCTCTTTCATACCCACATTCAGTTCCAGGTAACACTGAAGCTAAATTCGCAAGCTAAATCAACATAGTATCACTGAGTAGCTACTCCACACAATTTCATGAATGTGCTTCTCTGCTTTGAAAACTTACAGTGAATGCAATTGTTTGGGCTAGAACAGTAGGTTACTTCTAACCTACATTGTACAATCTGCAAACACATCTCCTTACAATGGAAGGAACAGTAACAAAACAGAAAAATAGTTAGTGCACAAATTACACAATAGCAAAATTCTGCAATCACAGCTATAAGACATACAACCTCCCTTAACTAATGAGTTCTTGCAAGTAGTGTTTTAAACATTTTTACATCATCCAGGGGAGCTCTAACTTTCCCTTTTCCCATCTTAAAATAAATTTGATACAATTCATTTGCATCTCTCTACAGATTTCCCTGGGGAAGTTACCCCATCTTCTACTGCATCTCATCCAACAGTAGCACTTCACAGATGTACTATAACTGGATGTGACCGCACTGCTGCACCAGAGAGACATGGTCATTGCCAAAACTGCTTTGGAATGTACTTCCCAGATGTTCTTTCTCGTGAATCCCTTCTTAACAATTCATAAATGTCTGAACATTTTTGAACAGGCTTTAATGGCCTATTTTCTCTTTGATCAATATCTGCAACAACTACAAAATGGCAACTGCAAGGAATTGATACCAGACTAATGTTAGGGAGTGGGGGATAGTGGACACTCCAGAAAAAATGACTGTATTTGTAATAAGTATCATTGACAATTTGTATTACTAAATATGTTAGAAATAACAAAGAGTGAAAAACTTATTTATAAGTTCTTACTGGCCCTCTAACTGGCCTCAGAAGCGTACTTCTCCTAATAAGGAGAAGATACATGTTCAAAGTGTTAGTTTGATTAGTTGTAGAGTAGCTAACTTAAAACAGACTAATTTCATACTTGATTTGTTTCGTAAGCTGGTTTAAGTCTAAATTATTCAAAAAGAATGTTCATTTTTACACCAATTAGCATTAGTTTTTTTTCAAGGACGTTGTTTAGGAAGTTGGTTTAAAAAATTTGTTTCTCAAACCAACCATGAAACAAATGAAAGTTTCATTTCATATGAAACACACTAATGAAAAAAAATAGAAGAAAGGACTCACAATACATGCATTAGCATCCAGCTTTTGGGATACAGGCTTTTGGCACATGTCAAAGTAATAATGTTAATTTTTTTAAGTACTATTGTAAGGGACAATGTTAATGTTTGAAATACAAGTAGAAGCTTAGAGAGAAATCTGTACAATCAATCAATAACTATAATAATAAAAAATATATTCTGTAGTTGGATAACAAAGTAGTTGTGCATCATACATGAGATGGAGGTTTTCACTGCTTAAACATTTCCACATCACTGAACTTCACTTAGCTGTGGTAACCGTTCCACTTTAGAGAACTTGACATAATAAGTACACGAAGAAAATAAAATTGCAAGTAAGACATTCACAATACTTCTGATAAGAGCCAACTGGTTTTGCAATTTGATTGAAATTCACAGTAATTTGACGAGTACAAACAACATACAGACCAGTTACACACCTCAGCACTAGTCATATTAAACTCTGTGTACATTAATAACTATAGTAATAAAAAGGATGATGGTTGTAAATAAAGTTCAAAATATGTGTAAAATATATGCAATGCATGTGCATGACATGCCCTTGTTAAATATCCACCTTCAGAATCCCACCTTCAAAAGTGACAGGAGAAAACCATCTGTAAATAAAACTACCCCCCTTCCCCCTTCCCCCTCCCCCCAACCCTAAGAAATGCACCAAACAAGAAAGATTATTTTCAACAAAGGCTTTATTACATGTTGGACATTTTACAGATGAATTCATTAGCGTTTTCCTCCAACACGAGGAGCCTTTGTCTGCACAGGTTTGGCTGCTTTTTGCTTCTGTCTGATGGGCTGTTGTTGCTGTGCCTAAAGAAATTGAAGTGTACAAATTTAATGTCTGATAAAAAAGTAATTTGTTTTCCCTAAGCGCCAGCTGCCTGCAAATTTGCTCTGTAAAGCACAGCTGGCACTTCTGAGGTTACACACTTAACAAATGTTCAATACAGAACACTACAGTGGGATTAAAAATATTTAAATATAACCCTAACTAACCTCTGAATTAGTGACAATACAGCAAGTAAAGTAACTGAAAGAAATCATTGTTTTGAACTATTTTTAATTGCAACTTCTTTTCATTTCCTTCATTCCCCATTTTGTAAACAAGAAGCTTAGAAACCCCTCATTCAAAGTGTTGCAAATGACTGGAAACAAATAGTCATAACCAGACCACGTCTCTCCTTGAAGCATCTCAGTTGAAATTTCAGCCACTAAGCTTAATTCTAGCTACAATCCTTAGTAAAGAAAGCCACTAACAAAGATTCATACCTTGGTAGCCTTCTTTTGTTGCTCTTTAGCCCTTGACTTCTCCTTTGCAGCCCTTTGGGAAAAAATGAAGAATATTGTGATATTGAAGAAATTTGTACAACAATATAAACTTAAATGAAATTATGTCTACCTGTCCAGAACACTTTTCTCAGGGTTTTGATGAATGTTAAATCAGAGATTCTCTGTGAGGATCTCAAACAATGTAGGTATATTAAATCATCATGGAATTATGTCTGGACAACAAGGTTGTACTTCAGTGTATTTTTTTCTGAAGCAGCAGTGTTATAGTGAGCCTAATTTTATAGAGATCAATGAGAAACCAGAATTCATCTGTTCTGAAATCACAATATCTTCAATGCCTACGAAAACACACCATTTAGATTTCCACTAGGGAAGACATAAAAAGTCATCATGGTTACCAGGTTCAACATTATAACACCCTTCCTTTGATTTGCTGGACTAAATGCAGGGCTAAAAATTAACTCCAGTGCTTAGTGGCCAGTCGGGCCAGTTTCCTTGAATTCTTAGTGGCCCATCCCAAAATAAAGTTGCCCTTGATTTCCACTATTTTAAAATGAAAAACTTGAATAAACGCCCCATGGCTTTTAACGGAGCATTAATTAAAGGAAAGAACACAAAAGTCCAGAGTCATGTGGCAATCACAAAATCAAAATGGCATCTATATGATGTGAATGTGGATCGCTCATGAAATTACTGATAAAACGGCTAGGAATTTCCACTTCAGAACTAAAACTTCACTAAGATGGATGATTTTAGAGTCCAGTCCAAGAAACAAAGAGAAAGGTAGTCCAGTTAAATTACATACTGAGTTCTATTTTTAACTTTGTACTTTGCATAATTTACACTGCAACTTTTTGAAATTCTGTAGCATAGTTGCATATCGGGCATTCAAATCTTAACTTTTGGTGGTCCTGGTCAGTTTTAACTTGCCACTGGCGACTGTGCACCATCAATTTTTAGCCCTGCTAAATGTACTCATTAAACCAACCTGATGGCTTGTTCACGCTGGGCTTTTCTGACTTCAGGTTTCTGGTTTCGCTTAGCCAAGATGTTCTCTAGAGTTGCCCCCTGAACTGAACGCTGAAACTTGACATTACGTCTTGTTCGCTTTTTGGAGACTTCCTCTGTCGTACCCTTCTTGTGCTTTCGCCGATAGAGCACAGTCCATGTAATCTTACGAGGATTGCGGTGCATTAACAAGGCTCGCTCGCATTTCTTGTTGAGGAAGTTGAAGACCTAACCACAAAACAGAACAAATCTCAGTAGGGAGCTCACCCTAACAAACAACTTGTTAAAGTAACCATAAACAGGGGTTCTAGTAACTTTTTCCACAAGTGGCTGCCAAAGGTGTAATAAGTGGCTGTTAACAGTTAAGGGTCCTAAGGAAAAACCCAAACAGGAGTAAGTGTTTGCAGGCTAAACAAACACCAGTTAGAGGTCTTACAAGCATTAGCACACAGCCAGTAACCTGCTTTTATGAATACCCCTGTCATAAGGTCTTTCACCCATCTTTTTAATTTCAACTTACAATCAGCAAAAACCGACAAGGTCCTCTTCAACAACAGTGGTACAAATACAGAATCCAATGCCAAGTCTATACATATCTCAATTAGTTTGGGAGCTCAAGATTTATGTTGCATGATAGCTAACATGGGGTATGCCTGAATCCACCATTACCATAAAAATCAAGAGTGAACTGTCTAATTACTTTATGATAAATTTATGAATTCTTCAGAACCTAAAAAGACAGGCCAATGTCTTATTTTCATTTTACTTTTTAAACAAGACAATGAAAATATTCAAACTAAATTACTTTCTATCATGGAGTAGATACCAAGTAGTAACCATTCGGATTGCAGCATTTGCAACAGAATGCTAGTACATTTACACTTAATGACCAAAGTACCTGTTGTGTAATTCCTCTCTTTTTTAAAAATGTAGCCAATTAATTTACATGTACACCTGTATTCAATAGTTTCGCTATACAAATAAAATTAAAAGCAAGAAGTACAGAGACACATTCGACTTTGAAAAAATCTTCTCTGACGTGTAAGAAGACAGACTAAAGAAACTACAAATCGAATGTATAAGTGTGCTTCCTCTTTCAATGGAATTACTGTTAGTCAGGGCAAAGAACAATTTCTGAAAAGCATTTATGCGAAAATCAAACTACCATCTACTGCAATTTCAGCTACTATACAACTCTATGACAGAACGTACCTTTCCATCCAGCCTAACATATCTCTTGCCATGGCCAGGGTAGATCTTGTACCCACTGTAATTACACAACTCGAGCCTAGAAAATATGACCAATTCAATTTCATATTTCCAATCAAATAGAAGAATTTAGTAGACTATCAAGCAGACACAAGTAGTATTCCTAGCATGAGAGAGTCACTAAGAAGAGAAGGAAAATTGCACTTTTGTTAATTGTTATAATTTCAATTTTGTTCTCTGAAATAAAACTAAGAGAACTCTAGTAGCTTTGGATGTTTGATCTATGTTCTCAAGTGGTAGATAAATGTCTGGATGGGAAAGGATTTTAAAGATGACTTACTTCATCGCTGTACGATGATTATTTTGGTGGAAGAGAAGGAACTAAGAAGCGCATGAGCAGTAAGTCATATCTATGGGGCAAAGTGCATTATGGGAATTTGAACATGGCGGCCTTAAAGTCAAATAGCGAAAATTCTTAACGCAATTTTAAAGAAAATTCATGGCTAAGAGTATGGAAGCGCAAAGTAACAGTACAGCTAAATCTAAAGAGGTAAAAGGAAGTGAGAAATCACAGGTTAAGGCCACCCCGAAAATGCAAGAACATTCTTTTTTAACAGACAGAACAGACGTGAAACAAATGGAGAAAGGACTGTTAGATCTAATGCACGATTTCAATCACGGCAAACTGTATGCATTTGGTAGGGATTGTACAATCGAAAAGATGGATAAAGTACGCGAACTTCAAGAACATTTGGCTCAGCTTCACTTTGAAATTGACAATATGACGGAAGGATTTGGAGATGAAGAAGAACCAAGAAGTGGAGGCAATCTGGAGAAGTTAATGAAGAATTTGGAGACTCTTAGTTCGACCGTTCAGAGCTTGCATCAAGAAAGCTCATCGTAATATGAACTGGATGATTTAATTTATCGATAAAGACACAGCGAGATCACAAATTGAGATGATTGTGTATACGTGCAACTAAGTGTACTCACAGTAGTATGACGTTTGCCTGGCCAGCTTTCGATCAGAGACATTCTCTTCGATGTCTACTCCCATCCGAGTTAGAAAGATATTCTTAAGGGGGCTCCAAAGGTCTTTTGTGAAGAGGTAGTTGCAGT